TTTAGTCTCTTCTGACATCCATTTTTATTTTTTTCTTTCTCCTTTGTTTTTTGGGTTTTTTTATGACCTTTTGCTTTCTTCATGGATGATATCATCCCACGACTTATCTGATCTTCGATCACTGGTGTTCCGTGTCTCAAACCTATTCCCAAGATGATCTTGAAATTTAGATAGAATCGATTCAAGATCATATCTTATTTCCTGTAGACTTGTTTTCATTTTCTTCAGCCTCAATATGAACTTGCATATGAGTAATTGATTAATTTGACCCACAATCTGCCCCTGGCGTAGTTTTGACTGCCGATATTGACCCGCTCCAGTGATTTCTCACACAAATGTAGTCAATCTGATTCCTATGCAGCCCATTAAGTGAGATCCATGTGTAAAGTCATCATTTGTGTCTTTTAAAAAAAGGTATTTGCAATGAATAAATCATTGTAAATACAAAATTCAATCATCCTCTTTCCAGCCTCATTTCTAACCATATTTTCCAAACACTATCCCTTCTTCACCATTTCCTACTTTTGAATTCCAGTCGCCAATTATAACTAATGCATCTTGATTGCATGTTCTGTCAATTTCTGACTGCAAGATTTCGTAAAAAAAATAATAATAATAAAATCTCCATGTCTTCTTCTTTAGCTCTGGATATAGGAGCATATATTTAAATAATAGTCATGTTACAGGGTCTTGTGTGTGTGTGTGTGTGTGTGTGTGTGTGTGTATCTTATCCTATCACTTACCTCACTTACTAAATAAAAGTAAGGAGGACTTGAAGCACTTGTTTCAGAAGATCAAAGAATGCAGCCTTCAGTATGAATTGTATCTCAATGCCAAGGAAACAAAGATTCTTACAACTGGATTAATGGGCAACATCATGATGGATGGAGGAGAGATTGAAACTGTCAACAACTTCATCTTGCTTGGATCCACAATTATCACCCTTAACTAGCAGTCAGGAAATAAGGAGAGGCATTGCACTGAAAAAATCTGCAGTTAGGGACCTCTCCTAATTATTGAGGAGTAGTGATGTCAGTTTGAGGACTAAAGTGAGTCTGATTCAGGCCATAGTCTTTGTGATCACTTGTTATGCATCTGAAAACTGGACCATGAATAAGGATGACAGAAGAAGAATTGATGCCTTTGAGCTGTGATGTTGAGAAGAACACTGAACATCCCATGGATGGCCAAAAGAACAAACAACTATGTCTTAGAGAGGGTGCAGCCAAAGTTGTCTTTGGAGACAAGAATGATGAGGCTTCACCTCACATACTTTGGGCATGTTGCTAGGAGGAGCTATTCCTCACAGAAGGACATGGTGCTGGGAAGGGTGGAGGGTTGGTGAAGGAGAGGAAGACCCTCACCAGGTAGACTGATGTGGTGACTGCCACAGTGGGCTCTTGAGGATGGCATAAGATAGAACAGGGTTCAGATCTTTAGTTCATTGGGTAGCTATGAGTTGTACTCGACTTGATGACACCTCACAGTAACAACAGGAGTCATTACCATTCTTTGAGACAAAACGAAGCTACCTGGAATGAATGATGAGGTACAGAAGGTGGAGGGAGAGCAGTCGTGTCCCACCTCTCTGAAAGGCTTCCCCAGGGCTAGACTTGAAATGGAGAAAAGGGCCCGTAAACCACACACAACCAATTCCACGACACAACGTGCTGCTGTTGTTGTGGTCATGGGCCATTACATCTTAGCAAGTGCCTCTTCTGCCCAGCGTGTCAAGGTTTGAGAACAGCTTTAGGAGCTCAAGAAAAATGTAACCCTGTGTATTGTTCTATTTATCACCTATTAAAAACTGTTTTCCTTTATAAACACTGGACTTTACAATGTTAGACTCAAAAATGAGAAATTTCCTATTTCAAATAAAGGCAATCAAGTATCTAAATAGGTGTAACAAGCCCTCCCTTTACACACAGTCAGGAGTCAATCGTCTTTCAACAAGTTGTTAATAAGTGCCATTAAGTCAGCACAGCTGACCCTCAAGCAGATTTTCAGGGGCTGTAAATTGTACAGGAGATTGCCTATCTTTCTCCCTCAGAGTAGCTGGTGGATTTGAACCACCTGCCTTTGGGTTGTCAGCGCAGCTCCTTACTCCACAAGGTCAGTAGAGAGAATATTATGTTCACCTACTAATTCACCAATTAGGGAGTGTCACACTGTAAATCTAAGGTATGTAATTACTTCACCTTTGTATTCAATTTCCAGTTAATTTCATCTGTGGGAGAATGGCATGTTTTCTAAATTTATTACCTCAGATTGCTCCCTATTTAGGAATAGAGATCTTGACTCAACAACTGAATTGCATGTTCAAGACATTGCTATTCTTCTACAGCAAAAGTTGAACTTTCAGAAAAGGTAAATTTTTTTGGAGAAATAACTTCCTTTCTTCACTTTTCTCCCTGGGATAAAGTCAGTTTCCCACTCACTTGCGCACCTGTGACTCTCCCCATTAAAATTCTAGACGGTGTTAGTTGCTAGGTGCACTCGAATCTGGTCAGACTCAACATGACCCTTCACAGCACAAACAAAACACTGGCCAGTTTTGTGCCATCCTCATTCTAGACGTGGGAAAAGGATTAGGGGTGGGGGTTGGGGGAGCCCAAGAGTTGACAACTCTGATAACAGGCTGAGCAAATGTGAATGCATCTTTGAAGGTACCTGAAGAAAGGTAATTCCGTCTTTAAATATACCCCCATCTCTACTTAATGCCTGCATTTTCTCTTGTTTTTCTTATTCGTACTTGTTTCCTTTAGAGTTATTACTAGTGTTAACTACTACCCTACCATATGAAGAAAAATATTTTGGCAGATGCACCATCTGGCCCTCACACATCACCAGGACTGGTGTAATCTGGCCTGTCCTTGTCCTGTAGGCCCAAGATAAGAAGTAAATTAGAAGAAGGAATTTCCCCAACCCTTATTATCCTTGCTTTAATAAGTCCTCTGACTTTGTTGAACTATGTGTTTCACTTAGTATATACTATTTTAAAATAAAATTTTATTTTACTTGTTATTTTAATGAACATTTACAGAGAAGTTGGATTTTCATTCACTCATTGTTGCATATTTTACCCCCTCTCCCTCCCTTGGCCCTCCCCCAGTTCACAGGGGTGGTTTTGGGGTGTTTTGTTTTTTAATATTCATTCATTGTTGCACAGTTACCTGCCTCCCCACTCCCCTCAGTCCTCTTTGCAATGATATATCTCTTACTCTGGGCTGTTGTTGTACATGGAATGCCTAATCACATATTCCTTTTAGACTGTTCTTAACTTCATCTGTTGCAATGCAATGGTCATTATCTAGGCCTCACACACACACACACACACACACACACACACACACACTTTTCTTTCTTTGAATTCTATGTAAGCAATAGTTCTAGAGAACCAGATTTTAAAAGCTAAGGAAAACTCCCATAAATGCACATCTCCAGAAAAAAACTCTTTCCTGTCAAATGTGGCTGAAGGGCTGTGCTGCATTAGGGAATGGACCTCAGTGTCAGCTCCAGGTAAGCTAACACCTACCTCTCATCACTCACTGGGTTAGCAGTCTGTTTCCCTGCTTTCTGAGATTTGGCATAAGCTTAGGAATCCACCCCCAAACTCCTCTGTTCATCAATTTCCGGGTTAATTGGCATCTCCCCATTTCGGAAAGCACCAAGAGTTTTATCACCTTGGAAACACAACTGCAGGTTTCCTAATATGCACAAATAGAATCTTTTAAAAGCACATAAACACACATGTACTCAGCAAGGTTTAGTTAACAAAGAACCAAACCAAATGTACTGGCCTCTATCAATTCAGAGTGACCCTGTGGGACAGAGCAGAATTGCTCCACAAGATTTCCCAGGCTGCAGATCTGAAAGAAAACTGACTACTACATCCTCCTCCCAGGAAAGAGTTGGTGAGTTCAAACCTCAGATCTCCATGTTATGTTAGCACCTGAACATTTCAACTACTTTGCAACCAGGGCTCCTACATTTTAGTTACCCCTCCACCAAACATAAGTCACGATTCAAAACTGTCACTGTTGGCATCTTTAGTCAGGAAGTGAAATCTTCAACCTGACAAATCACATACAGTATTGTGCAATTTCCCGTGTCAAACTGTCAGAAACAGCTCAGCAATATCCCATCTCCATATTGTTATTATTATTTCAATACATTTTTCCATCTCCATATTATTGTTTCTTTCTTCTAAAAATGCTTCAGAGGCCAGGCTAGGGCAGGTAAAATCACCATCTGTGTGTATGGAACAGTAAATATTCGACATCAAGTTATCTGAAGAAATCTTGATTTTGTGGAAAAGGATGTGCAAATGATCCCCTCATAGAAGGCATTTGGAACCTTAACAGGGAACTCCTTGCTTTGGTGAAAATGGCTATGGTGTGTACTCAAGAGACAGACAAACCGACGGGTAGAGGAGGGGACAGGAGAATGTGAAGGGGGAGACAGAATGGTTTTTGGACTATCTTTTCTAGTATTTATTACAAGTGGTTGACCCTGAATCCTTACTACTATTGAAAGATGAGGTGGATTATTTGTTGGCTTTTTCTAAAAGGCTTTGATAATGACTCCCTCCACTGTTATTTCCTTCACAATAAATTCACCCAAATTTACAAACCACCAACCCTGCGCTAGGCACTGTGCCAGACTCTAGGAAAGGAAACATGAATGAAGCAAGCAACTGGTTTTATCATCGATCTCTTAAGATGTGGGAAGCACAACCTCGCTCCCCTATTCTGGGCAGCTCGGACAGCTGTCGATCCAGTCGCAGCTGTGAGTGTTAAATTGCTCCCAGCTTCCGAGAACACCTGAGAGCCAAGCCACGAACCAGAACCAGAGTTCTCCTCGCGTTCCAGGAACGCCCAAAGCTCAAGTTCAACTCCGGGGCCGCAGGCGAGCTCCTCTGGGCGAGCTCCCGGCGCAGCGCGCACCCTGTGTGCGCCCACTGCCCGCCGCCCCGCGCGCAGGAAGCCTCACCCACTTACTTTGCCACTGTCGCTCACTCCGAGGAGGTGATCTCGCAGCACCTCCATGGGATTGGTCCAGGTGGAGTGGACAAATGTCCCCCGGAAGATGTGCGCCAAGGGCGGCATCCTGGAAGCGCACATGTGGGCTGGGAGTGTAGCGCGCGCTGGGTCGGCCGGCGAGGAGGGCGCACCTGGCGGAGGCGCAGCAAGACGCGGCTGTGGATGGGATGCTGCGAAACCCTCACCGTAGGTCCTGCCCTGCCTCCCGGCAATCGCCTGCCCCCTGCAGGCCGCGCCCAGGGGCTGGCTCCCTGCCTCCTAAATGCCAATAGGATTCCTCTCCCTGGAGTTGGCTCTGCGCCCCCTTAGGGTGCGGTCTTTCTCTCCTCTCCGCCTTAGTTTTTGATGTGTTAACTCTTTAAATTTCCAAAAATCACTGCTCACGTTGCTGCTCTTTTAGCTCGCCCTGCCTCCGTCACCCACCCAGAGGAAGTAAAGAAGACAGGCACTTGAAAAGCCCAAGGTTCTAGCCCTGTACGTTGACGTCGACTCGGAATTTGTTTTTGCCTCTCTTTTCCAGCCCTCTCCTGTTCCCTAATTGGCAAGCTCAGAGGTGTGTCTGTTTGCGTTCTCTGGCCTTTCAACTTCTTGTGACATTTGTGGCCAAACCTTGGGCTTCCTGCACCTGTAGCAAAACAGGATCTGAACTTGCAACAAGTTCAAGATCCGGTGAAAGGTCTATTCGGGTTGCCTAACTTGTAGACCAGTTTCATTTTCGGTTACCCCAGGCTGCACAACACTTAGGTCTTCCTAACCCGGCAGAAGCTTGTCTTACAGATCTTCACCAGGGTCTGCATTTCGACCTGTGGGTCTGGTCACGATGAAATTTCTCTTGTAGAAAATAAATACATCTCTGATTTACTTCTAGTTGTACAGGAGAGAAATCCAAGCCCAAGAATCAAGGACTGATGAATGACAGTGACGTGACCTGGTTAGAAATCAAGGCATATCAGGGACCTCTCCAGAGCTCTGAGAAGCAGCAATGTCAGTCTAGAGACTAAGGTGCGCCTGAGCAGGGCCATGTTGTTGTTGTTGTTGTTGTTAAGTGCCGTCGAGTCGCAGGCATAGCGACCCTATGAAGGAGAGTCCTCGACGCTTGGGTGCCTTTCATCCTCTCTCCAGGTTCATAGGATTTCCAGAGGCAAGCTATTATGGAAGTGGATGCCACTCCTCCTTCCAAGCTTGTTTTAATTGGGGAGCTCCACCCCACTCTCTGTCCTCATTGGGTAGCCAATCATTAACGCATTTGACACCTCAGTGTCACGGTGTTCAGCCTCACAGCAACCAAAAGTGAACCGAGCAGGGCCATAGTCTTTGCAATTACTTTCTTCGCATCTGAGAGCTGGATAATGACTAAGGATGACAGAAGAAGAATCAATGCCTTAGAGTTGTGGTGCTAGAGAGGAGTTTTGAACATATCAGGGAGTGCCAAGAAAGCAAATAGGTCTGTCTTGGAGAGGGTGAAACCAAGTTTCTCCTTGGAGGCTAAGATTTTGAAGCTCCATTTCACATACTTTGGGCATGTGGCCAGGAGGGACAGGTATTTGGGAAAGGACATCTTGCTTAGAAGGGTGGAGGGACAGCACAGGAGAGGAAGACCTGGGATGAGATGGATTTGCACAGTAACCGGGGCAATGGGGTAGGTGTGTCCGAGTCAGTGAGACTGACTGAGGACAGGGCAGGCTTCAGAGCTGCTGTACACAGGGTCACTATGGGTCGCTGGTGACTTGATGGTACATAACAACATGGACAAGACGTGGGGATTCTGGCAGTTATGGGCTCTACTTTGTGTAAATGAAGTTTGCTTTGAGTCATGGCTGAGGTTGCTTGTAACTCAGCTTTCCCTTCCTACACTATGGCACAGGGTCCTTTATTTAATGACCCCGTTTCATTGGTTGCTTTCTTCTCATGGCCCTAACACTCTCACCTCAGTCTTCACCAAACTTCTACTTCTCATCACTTGTTTGTCTCAAATTCCAGCTTCGACACCCATTCCCTGCATTTTCTATTCCAGAACTCATTTTTGCTATAACATTTATCAGCATCTGAAGGCTGTCTTCCTTATTTCTTGTTTATTATCTGCCTCGCCTCCACCCCCAAATCTTCGCCTCCCACACACAGACACGAATAATGTAAACACCATAAAAGCATAAGACTTGTCTGATGCCTAGAACAGGGTCTAGTGGGCCATATGTACTTATTGAATAAAGAAATTAATGGTTCTTTTGTGAGCAGGTGTAAATAAATCTTTTGGCTTCTGCATAGAGATTGAAAGCTTCATCGATATGACTGAGCCACTTGCTCTTAATTGCTACATTATGTCTCAGGCCTGGCTTGGCTAAATTCTCTTCCTCGTTCTTGATCTTTCATCTGCCAGGTCAAGTGACCAGTTAGTTCCTCCCTGTTGCCAGGAACTTTCTTGCTTTGAACTCTGTAAGTCACATGTTCCAGGCAGCTGAGACAGATGTGTATCATTAAAAGGCCGCAGAACCAAGAGGCTTTAAAGCTGAAGTCACTATGATATGACTTTACCACTTCCCCTGTCACCTCCTCATGGTCCTGCAGACCACACACTCCCCTTGTCATCCTAACACCCACAATAACCAGAAATATTCTCTGAGCCAAGGACCATATACACACAAATCTCACAAAAGAAAGGTTACAGAAATTTCTACCCTTTATTTAGAAAAAGGGCCCATTCATGTTCGTTCAAAGATGGATTCACTTTTGTTCAGCCAATTATTAGAGCTTGGAGCAGCTGGTAGATTCCAACTGCCTGATCTTGGCCTAATGCAAAACTTCTGACCCATTAGGCCACAAGAACTCCTTATGTATACACACAAAGGTCCCCAAAATGTTTCTGAATACAGAAGCTCTGTGGCCTTCCTGTTCTGTGATCTGCAGCAGTGAATGTGGGAGGGTAGTGTGTTTCCCTGTTGAGACATGGAAACTCCAAATCAGAGATTATTCCAGACTTTACCAGTCTTCTCTGTAAGAAAACTGAGTAGTGCAATACTTTCCTAAGCTCTGTGTATTATTCTAGTGAATCATCGGCCCAGAGCAAACACCAGCAAACCAGAACTGATGGTTTTGTGAAGACTCTCAAGCTTGGAGCCAACATCAGAAGTCCTGGTTTGACTTGACTTTCTGGAGGACGATGTCTCTTAACTCTGGATGGTTAGGGTCAGAGGAGGAAGTACTAACGCGTGCATCTAGTGTCAGAAAAGAAATAGAATTAATTGATTGAGATTGATCAACACATTTGATGTCAGAGAAGTAGGATACGATTCCCAACAAAACTAGACAATTTTGTGTTGTGGTTATTAATGGTTCAATGAGCTTTATGAAATGAGTAATCATTGTTGATTCGCCTCAGCTTAGCACTGACTCACAATGGCCTTACAGACAAAAGAAACATTGCTCAATCCTGCATCATCCTCATAACTGATGCAGTGTCTGAATTCATTGTAGGGACCACTGTGCCAATCAATATCATGGAAGTTACTCCTCTCTTTTGCCTACCCTCTCTGCATTATCAGAGATCCATGTCTTTCTCTGGGGAGTGGCCCCTCTTGATAACATGCTCAAAGTACATGAGACTAAGTCATGTCGTTCTTTCTACTAAGAAGCATTCTGGCTGCACTTTTTCCAAGACAGTAGGTTTCAATAAAGTTGACCTTCTTAAGCAAAAGGAATAGATAGGGCCTGCCAAGATGGCATGACCTTAGCCCTCTTGGTGTAAGGGTTAGGGTTTTGGTTTTTTTTTAAGCATTGCACATTCCTACTTCCATTCCAGCTGTGTTATAAGCAGTTGGCCTCAGGATTGAGAATTCCTGGGGACTGTATCGCCAGCAGCCCAGCTCTGCCACATGTGAAGAAGTCGGGGCTCCCTCATCACATTCTGTCTTCTCCCAGGTTCTCCACTTGCTGAACTCTAAGCTCCTTTACTCCAGTGGCCATCCTAAAATACTGAGTCTGTTCTTCTAATCTTCAGGACAGTGTTCCCACAGAAACTTAAGTTTGGAGCAAGAAAGAACTGCAGAACCTTTATATTCACCTTTAAAACATAACTCAAGCACATTGCAAGCCAGTTCTGGTTAAGAAGACAGTGTTTTCCCAGTGATGAGTATTTGATAGTTTGTATTAATTAGACCTTGAAAGCCTTGCTGAAATAGCAATTTTCTTTTTCCTTTTTTTTTAAATTTTTTAAATCTTTCCATGGATCGTACTTAAATTCACTGGGACAAAAGAGATCCTGGGAGATGATTGCTCAAGGCACTTGATCTGCTCTGCTCCGGTATCATTAATCCCCATCAGGAATAACTACACTTTTTGTTTGTTTTTTAGTAATGACTACTCTTAACTTTCACCAGCACCGCTTCTCAAAAGCACATCTAATGGTTTAGATTTGCATCTGGAGTGGCATTTTCAGTGTGCCACCCCACATATCACTTCCTTCTTACCTGGGCAAGGCAGCTCTGACTGTTTCTAAGGAAACTTCTCCTTCCAGTTTCCCAAATGCTCAGGATTAGTTTTGACTCTGAGTGACTCATGGCCATCAAGTAGGTACCAACTCACAGCTGACCCTCCAGTGGGTTTTCAGAGGCTGTGAATCACATAAGTTCAGTGATTCTGTATATTTCTTCCATCCTCTTTTGATGCTTCCTGGATCATCCTAGATTTTGTCGATAGCATCCCTCAGTATTGCAACTTGAGGTATGTATTATGTTGATAGAAACCAAAGTGATTCCATGTTGCTGACCTTCTTACCCTACCTGAATACCTCTGGGTGTTCCAGGAAATAGTACATAATCCTATACTATGCTTAACCCCAGATGCGGTGTTATGACTCACCTCAGAAAGTAGCTGATAGTTAAAACAAGGTGCTCTGGAAAAATGGGAAAGAACCACAGGCCCTTGAAACTGCCATGCCCGAACCGAACCAGCCAAGACAGAAAGGATGAACATCTACTCTTCTCTTCGCTCAACACTGATGAAAGAGGCTCAGCCCACTTTCAGCAAAGTGTGCATTTCAAATAAAGTACATTTGGTCCACATTCAGCTAGTGTTGTTTCTAGACTTCTTAGTGAGTTCGGACCTTTCCACTGGAGTTTTTCAGTGCATTTCATTCTCTTGAGAAATAATGAGCAAATTCTTCCCTTTTTACT